CAGCAACTAGAAGGATGTGCAGCTACGACACACAACTATCCACTGGGGCTTTGGGGGGAAAAATAAAATAAATAAAATCTTTAAAAAAAAAAAAAAAAAAAAGAAACCTGTACTCCTGCCTGCAGGCTTCTTAAATTCTGTTTCTACCCACAACTTCCCCACCCTGCCTAAAATCCTGCCATCATGTTCCCTCTCTTCTCATCTAGATCCTCGGACTCTTCAAGGCCTCCCTCTCTCTCTCAGGAAGTCTCTCTTGGTGATCTGGCCCACTCTGATAGGACCACCTCTGAACTCGTACAGTGTTGGACTGGGTGCTTAGTACAGAAAGGTCACTTCTTCGTCTTCAGGAGGCCTCGTAACATAGTGAAAGGAACACAAGCTTGGGAGTCAGACAGACCTGGGTTTAAATCTCAGCTCTGTAATGTGACTCTGGGCAAGCCAGTTGCCATCTTTGAGACCATGGCCCTCAGGGCGTCCTCAGGTGATGGATCAGGCAAACTGTCCCTGACCCTGAGAGACTCACAGACTGGTAGAGGAGACAGATGTGGAAGCGGGCAGTGACAGCTGGGTGGGTGCTCTGGCAGGGGCTGGACAAGAGGCTCTGGGGACATAGAGCAGGAGATGCCTGCTTCTGCCTGGTGAGTAGGGAGGTGGAGTCCGTTACAGAAAGCTTCCCGGGGTGGAGAAGGGGTGTTCCTTAAGCCTTATCAGGAAGGTAATGGGAGTTTGCCAGGCCGATTTCTATGAAAGGGTCTCAATTCACTGGGCCGGTTTTCTACCCCGAACGCCACAGAAAAGTGGGTGCACAGACCTCTGTGGTTTTCATCTCTGAAGATGCTGCTTCTGCCTATGTTACTGGCTTATGAGCAGGAAGGCTCTGCTTCAGCACTTGACTGCCAAGTACAAGAAAAGGTGGGCGGAAGGGAAGGAGAGACAGGACAACTGGGAAGAAAGTCGGGGAAGGTGGGGAGCCTCCTCCCTCAGGCCCCTGGAGCTGACTCATTCCAGTAGTTCCAGGGCTGGTATGGCACTTTCGCAGCTGTTTCCTTCCAGGGATGTGATCCCACTGCCAGATCCATCCTCCTAAAACACATCTCTGATCATGGCAGCCTTTCTCAATCAGGGTTCCTCCAGAGAATTGAACCCTAATGCTCTAAGATGTCTGTTGTACATGAGGAATTAACTTCTCTCTCAGGCATCTAAAATGGTACAGGGCTGGTCTGGTGGCATAGTGGTTAAGTTCGCGTGCTCCGCTTCGGCGGCCTGGGGTTCGTGGGTTCAGATCCCAGGCATGGACCTATACACCGCTCATCGAGCCAGGCTGTGGTGGCATCCCATATACAAAATGGAGGAAGATTGGCACAGATGTTAGCTCAGGGCCAATCTTCATCACACACACACACACAAAATTAAAATGGTACAAGTTACATACCATTCTTGGGAAGATTGAGAAAATGAGTACTCAAATAATTTCCTGTTTGTGGTACAAAGGAGAAACCCCAGTTGAGAAAACCTGCAAGGAAAAAGCATGAACTGTGGAGCCAGGCTCTGAATACAAGCCTTGCCACTTAATAGCTGTGTGTCCTAGACAAGCTACTGACCACTTTGAGGTTCTCCTTTCTCATCTGGAAATGGGAGTGATCCCACCTGCCTTCTAAGGTTTCGTCAGCGTTAGCACATGTGTAGGTTCTACACGGTAGGCACATTATGTATAATATCTGTTATTATTAACTTCAAAAACACTCTGCTCACTTGTTTAAAAAAAAAAAAGAATCCTTGCCATCCTGACTTTATAAGCTGGTTTTAGAGTTGTTATAGTCTGACCCTCACCTAACTTTTTTCTCACTGCTACCCTAATCCCCAGCTACACTATAGTGTCGTTAGGGGTCACACCTGAGTGCCTTTACTCATGCAGGCCTTTCTACCTCTCATTTCTCTTTAAGACTTTGTTTCTCAGCCTGGTGGAATTCTTTCTGCCAGGCAATCCCCAGCTCTAACGCCACCT